GGTGTATGATGAGTGGTGTATGATGAGTGGTGTATGATGAGTGGTGTTTGATGAGTGGTGTATGATGAGTGGTGTATGACGAGTGGTGTATGATGAGTGGTGTATGATGAGTGCTGTATTGAACAGCTGTTGAATGTCCGTAACACGGAAGTTTTGCACACTAAACTTCCTTTGACTAGCAATGGTCTCCAACCTACTAGTAATGGCCTGCAACTACCAGCAATGCCCTCCAACCTACTAGCAATGGCCTCCCACCTAATAGCAATGGCCTCCAAGCTACTAATAGCAATTGCCTTCAAGCTAATAGCGATGGCCCCCAACCTACTAGTAGTGGCCTCCCACCTAATAGCGATGACCTCCAACCTACTAGCAATGGTCTGCAACCTACTGGCGATGGCCTTCAACCTACTCGCAATGACTTCACACCTAATAGCAATGGCCTCCAACCTACTAGCAATGGTCCCCAACCTACTAGTAATGGCCTCCCACCTAATAGCAATGGCCTGCAATGACCTCGAACCTAGCAGTAATGGCCTCCCACCCAATAGCGATGGCAGCGATGGCCTCCAACCTACTAGCAATGGTTTCTAACCTACTAGCGATGGCCTCCCACCTAATAGCGATGGCCACCAACCTACTAGCAATGGCCTCCAACCTACTAGCAATGCCCTCCAACCTACTAGCAATGGCCTCCCACCTAATAGCAAAGGCCTCCGAGCTACTAGCGATGACCTCCAACCTACTAGGGTTGGAGGCCGATGGCCTCCCACCTAATAGCAATGGCCTCCAACCTAATAGCAATGGCCTCCAACCTACTAGCAATGGCCTCCAACCTAGTAGCAATGGCCTCCAACCTACTAGCAATGGCCTCCCACCTAATAGCAATGGCCTCCAAGCTACTAGCGATGACCTCCAATCTACTAGCGATGGCCATCTAATGGCCTCCTACCTACTAACGTTTGCCTCCATCCTAATAGGGATGGCCTCCGCTTGGAGTACTGGAAGATTTATGAAGATTTCGATAGTTGTGGCCGCGTGTGGCTCTTTGCCAAGCTCATGCAAGCTTTGTTGCTACCTTCACGAAGACACAATCTGCACCAGAACGGATGGACAAGAGCTACGGCTGTCGTGACAGGGGACATGAGGGGGGCCAAGGCCACCTCGGCCACCTGCGGAAAGGGAAGGAAAGTAAAAAATTGAACGGGGTGTACTAGGTGTACCAAATTGAACTATTCCATTTCAGACTCACCACGAATGCCCAGGATTGCAGCACTCCTCTGCACTGATGAGTGAGGAGGATGCGGAGGCTGCTTTAGTAGAGAGTGTGACCGCAGAGGAAAATCCTTCGGACACACTCATGGTGCGAATGATTGGCGACTTGGAGGAAGCTCAAATCAAGAAGCTCAGATGAAAATGGCCAAGCTTCAAGTTGCTCTTTTAAATATTCCCCGTGGTTGATTTGATTTGACGACCAAACATTATATGGATTAATTCAGTGGATCAGGCTATACAAGCTCGGGGTCCTTTCATGCTGCTTAATGTTGCTCGGGCACGATACTCTTCTTTCACTGATCATGCGTTCCGTTGCGCGCTGGATCCACATAAGAGAATATCGTCGCTTTAGACATGCCACTTTCCAAATCAAGTGCATCGTGTTTGGTTGGTTCGCACTGAAAGCCGCATCAGTACAACTTGCAATTTAGGGGGGCTCTACTTGGCCAGTTTTTCAAATGTTGTGCGAACACAGTCTTTGCCACAGGAAGGCATTTCAAGCGCACGTGCCGCTGGTGAAAGCCGTTCGGATGATGTTGGACAGATCGACGAGAAAATCAAAGGGCTTTTGCTTTGCAACTTGTTCGAATTCAGAGGTCAAATGCTCGGCTCTTGGTGCATGCTTGCTGGTTTGCCTTCCGATAGTCTTGGTAGGTTCCGGATTGCTGCAAGACACGAGTTTAGCGCTTCCAAGCAGGTGAGTTTTCACTCTGTGAGCGATGCCATGCAAGCTAAAAATCGCATGAATGCCGCAGGATGCTTGGTGAAAAGCTTTAGCTTTGAAGCTGTGCTGCCACACAAGACTTTTTGCACGGAGAACTGATTAAAAGAAGAATGGACATCGGAACAGATGGAAAATTTTCTTGGGCTGGATAAACTTTGATATTGGGATCCAAAGGGCAGATGTAATCCAAAAAATCCACTGAAACTTGTGACGACTGGAATGTAATTCCCATTTCGATTGTGCTAAGGATCAATGATTCTGTCTAAGAAGGTTGCAGTCAGCTTTGCAAAGCCGCAGAACCAGGAGCAGGCACTGCCAACACTGCCTCATACTGTCCAGCACACCATGTAGTCTAGGAATAGTAGTACCATGTATATAGTACCAAGATGTACCAAGAGACCCATGGGGGGAAGCACCTTGGAAATGGTGAGCAATATGTTACTATGTTGATACAAGAAGCTATTAGTAACAAGTGCATCGCTACTAGGAACAAGTGCCACGCTTCTAGTAACAAGTGCCTTGCTAGTAGTAACAGGAAGCTAGTAGAAACAAGTGCCTTACTAGTAGTAACAAGAAGCCCTTTTCAGCTTGAACTCAATGATTCGGTGCACCGACTTGGAGCAGACCACCATGTTTACGTCTTGATGAGCACAGGCATTGGAAAGTAACCTCATTGCCAGGGCAGAACAGGAGCGGCCGCAGAGAAAGGCTTTAAGATCAGTCAGTAAGTAGGCATGCAATTCCATGTCTTGTCTTGACAACAGCCGGCTTCGTGGAATTGTCCAAATACGTTCAATCGTTTGCAGGTAGAGGTTGTGTAGTACGGATCGTTGTCTGGACAATGTGCCGCTAATTGGAGGACGTGATTCAGGCCCAAGCGAAGCAAGCCTTAAATGGGCTCAATGCTGAGATGTGGTCTTCCTACATGCGACTTGCTTCAATAAACCCCAAAGCAAAGCGCAAATCGGTGATGCTGGGTAGTGCGGTATTCTTTCAGAAATAACAACAAACTGAACTTTTGGTAAAATGACCAAATCGTTGTTGTCTGCGGACGTGTTGTTTGAGCTTCAGTGTATGTATAATGCTTTTGACACTCCACACCCCCCAAACACTATAAATTATCTAATACCATTGTTTTCATGTTTCACAGCACATCCAACACGAAGATCAACAAGCTTACAGGAGGCAGACATGGGCAGTTCAAGAATGTCGTTAGGCTTGAAATGCATGAAATGGCAGTCAGCTAGAGCAATTTGAGTACATCATACCAGCTGAATCCATGATCCTTCTACTGGCTCTACGGGCTGGTGCGACGTGGAAAAGCAATGTTTTCCTCAGATAGAAGCCTATAGGGGTTCTAACTTCTCAATGGTGCGGCTCTGGATCGGCGTTTTGGTTTTGTGTCTGTATAGTATAGCTCATTACCTACCCACCGGGCATTTTGCACCAACATTTGATTGCGACCTCAAACACAACACGTAGTGAAGCCAGAAATTGTGGATGGTCCACCGTACAAAGGTCCTTGTGCCTCGATAGAAGTTGTCAATGTGATGGTCCACAGCTGAGGCAATTTTTTGAGGAAGAACAAGAGAAGGAGAGCAGTGCCTGGCCTAAAAGAACCAGTGTTGCTCTCTCTCTCTCTCTCTCTCTCTTGTGCTGCTTACTAAGTAATCCACCCAACAAGCAACGCAGGACAAAGTGAGAATTGACCTATTCTGTGACTCTTGCCATGCCACACGTGATCGCGTGTATTCCTCTTGACGGTCCCGCCCTGAGACATTTTGCCTATCCAAGTTTGTTCGAGATTGAACAGTTGAACACATGTAAAGTATCTCCTGAAGGTGCCATGCCCATGCAAATCCAGCGTTTTGACGCACATACAAGTATACCATGGTCCAATTCCTTTCCAAAGACATACATCAGCTGTGCATACGTTCAAGTGTCACTGCAAAGCTGAGGAGAGAAACAGGCCTTGCTTGAATCATTGGAAGCCAAGAAACGCGCTCTTCAAGCTGCAGCTGCAGCTGCAGCCGCAGCAGCCGAGAGTGAGACGAACGCGTCTGGGTGAAGTTGCTTGGTATAGCGAAAAAATGAGCGGAGCTGCACCAAAGGACCGTTCTGCTCCATGGAATCGCATACAGCTCACGAGGAACAAGTGCATCGCTAGTAGTAACAAGTGCCTTACTGGTAGTAACAAAAAGCTATTAGAATTAAATTAATAGCTTCTTGTTACTACTAGTAAGGCACCTGTTACTAGTAGCGTGGCACTTGTTTATACATAGTTATGTACAGCTATAGAGTGCCATAGCAGATAGGTTTGACAGCTGCTTCCGAAGCATTTACTCTGAAGCGCCAGGTGAAACGCAAGGGAGGATGTCGTGACGGTGCCGATTGTCGCAACTGCCATGAGTGTTTCTGGACCAAGGCACGGGGGTCCAATTTCGGCGCGGCGGCCGGCAAGAGTTTTCGAATACTGGACTTATACACATCCATACGACGCTTCAGGTTTTCTAGTCTTTGTTTCTTTCGCTGCATGCGCATGCCCTCCATGTTTGCTCTGCAGGGCATACCGTGGTGTGAAGTGGTAACTCCCTTGAGTAAAAGGTTCAAAGGGGGTGTGTTACCTACTTTGGCAATGGCCTCCAACCTACTAGCAATGGTAGCGATGGCCTCCAACCTACTAGCAATGGCCTCCCACCCAAAGCATAGCATTGGCCTCCAACCTAACCTCAACCATATAGCAATGGCCTCCAAGGGACTTTCAAGGACAACCCTTCGGTCACTTCCAGTGAGCCATTCATCGCAGTCGCGCGGCTATGACGCCGCAACCCTTGCACAGATGGCAGAGGCACGTGCCACACAGGATAGCGATGCCCTTTGTTCCTAGTAGCGTCCTTGCTCCGTTCGTAGTAAGGCCAGGAGCTCCTAGTAGCTTCTTGTTCCTAGTAGCGATGCCCTTTGTTCCTAGTAGCTTCTTTGCCCTTCAAAACGAGTTCAGACGTCATTCTTGATTGTCACAGAGCTTGGGACTATCTCGCGGAGCACTTCAGGGCAAAAGATGTCTTCAAGTGTTATTATTTTCTGTCTTTCAGGGCCTCATGTCCCTAAGATGCTCAGTCTGCCAGGCCTTGCCATACTCCAAAGGTACTCATGGCCATCCACTAAGGCGCCGATGTTGGAGTAAGCTGGAGTCAGGATTTTTGTCGCAGACAAATCTTCTGGTGCTCATTCTTTTATTATTTAGGTCCGACTGCATGAAGCATTCCATTCTATTGAGTCCAGCTCCTTCTTTTGGCCACAAAGCTCTCTCGAACTGGATGTTGCTCTCATTCCACTGGTTGAGAGGTGTGCCGAAGCATGTGATTTGGCTGCATGGCGGGGACATGCTGAGAGTGTCAATCTTTTTACGACGTGCAGGACAACAGTTGCACATATTGTGTATAAAGACTAGATACTTTGTGTGTGGACGGTGTCCAAAACAGTATACAAGGGAAAAGACACAGAAGACACAGAAGTATGTGCTCACACCACAGATGCAAGGCCCTCAAGGCGACAATAGGAACACATGGGACGCCCCGGTCCTAAGGGATACCGGCAGGCTTTTTTGTTCACATGTTATGAATACATGTGAGTGCTACACATTCAATCATACTTATGTTACTTATGAATGAATGTTTGTATCCGCCTATGTTATGTATGTTTGTGTGTGCATGTTGAAGAACCAAGAGATGCGTGGTAGTATATACTTGTGCATTGGCTCATGATGTGCAAACTCTAGGTGCTGCAGAGGCGAATTTGTTTGGTACTTTGACTGCGTTGAACGATCTTGCTCCAGCAGTGTGAGGCTTTTTGCGCGAATTTCAGCTTGGGAACTTCCAACTAGTCACAGCCCATTTGGGCCTAACCAAGAAGAGCACGATATTGGCAGAACTGAACTGATATCAAGAACTTGCCTTCTTGTGTTTCCCGCGTCACACGTTCTCCTGAGGCAAATATGTCCGTCGCAAGGGCGGTTGCCGAGATGGGCCGAATTGCCCCAAATGCAGGGGAGGCCCAGACATTGTGATGAGCTCGCAGGGCTGCTGTTGTCACCGGCAGCGTTTGAGTTTTTTAAGGGCGTGCTTTGGGGTTGCTGAGCACAACAGAGGATATTGGCTCAGCAGTTGCTGAGCACAACAGAGGATATTGGCTCAGCACAGCAAAACATGATCTTGGTGGAAAGTAGGCCATATTATGGCAAAGCTGGTCTCATGCCTTATTCAGCCCCAAGGGTGGAGGGGCCAGAACGTAGCCAGTTTGTAAAGAACTCTACATAAGCTCCAAACCCCCAACCCAATACCCGATTTGGGCCGATGGTGACAGTTGACAATCGTTCCGCAACAAAGGCTGTACTTGGTGATGTAGTTTTTGCTGGATGAAATCGGACTGCCCGGAGCACTTTACACACGTGCTCTTCCTGACTGGGTCAGATGTTTTCTCGGTTTTGTTGACCAAGGCCATTATTGCCAATGGCGTCGTGATGGGGTGAAGAACACTCGTGCGGAGCAAGACACTGATGGTATTATTGAGGCCGTAGAAAGGGACACGTTGTGCCGTATATGTTAATATGTGCACTGCTGCACAATATGTAGAATGTATATAGTTTTGCGGACATGTTTCCGTCTCTGCATCTATATTTGGAATACCTTGATTGCAAACAGGAACCGTGTCAAACGAGGCTACCTGATTGGAAAGCGACCCTTGTCCACTTGCGGAGAACGATGCTGTCTGCGTGCAGCGAAAGTAATCTGTCCTTTTGGGATATCCACCGGATCGATGTGCTTGGTGGTATCTACTTTTCGAGGAAACTTCTTTGCCCTCCAGAGATCCAGCAACGCCCACCACTGTGGTGCCACTTTCAATTCAAGTGAAAGGGACCAACTGGTGTAATCATTTGTGTGATGTTTTGTATGGACCTCATTATAACAGCATAGACCCCAAGGACCAATATTAGTAAAAAACGATTTCTTGGTATGCCCTACCTTCCCCCAAGAGCAAGTTGCTTAATCCATGATTTTTTGTCGGCATCGACATCGTTAATTGTTCGGCCACAAGAGAAGACAAGAGAAGAGCAGGACAAGAGAAGACAAGAGGAGGACAAGACCCGGTCAAAGAGCCCGGCCACAGAGTTCAGGGACGTGGCCGGTCAGTGTGTCCAGGGCTGGTCAGTGAGGACAGGAGGACCAGAAAAGGATAAGAGGAGGACAAGACCTGGCCACAGAGCCCGGCCACAGAGCGCGGCCACGAAGCCCGGCCACAGTTCAGGGGCGCGGGCAGTCAGTGTGGCCAGTTCTTTTTAACGATAGACCCCCAGCAGTAAACAAAAGTATGCTAGGAGCTTACTCCCTTACTAGAGTCAAGTAGGCGCCTGCTTACTTGAGTAAAGGCGGGCTAGAAAAAACAGGTCCAAAGGGTTTAGACATTAAAAAGGTCTAAAGTCTAAAGAAGAAAGGTCTTAAGCAAGAAGTCGTTCCCCTCTGGGGAGGATGCAGCTATTTGCCTCTCCACAAGTCACACCCAACGTGCATTTCGTTGTCTCTTCACAAGCCCATGTCTGCTTTTTCAACGGCGGATTTCATCGGACTGCAGTCAGGCAGACATGAATGTCCACCCGCCCGGGCTCCTCTTGGGTCCTCCCGACGAGGCGAGGAAAGGAGGCGTCCAAACTAGGCCACGTAAAGTCTCTCACTACACCCTAATAGCGATGGCCTCCTAGGAGTGTGCACCTCTTTTTGCTGATGAATGTGGCATCCGACTAAGGCAACTGAAGTGATACTCGAGATTTGGGCATTTTCGTTGCCAATGTTCTCTTAAGATCTGGATATTGATCAAGACAAGCAGTTATCCAAGATTTCAATTTCATGTTGTACTAGCGACTTTGAATGTTCACAAAGATCAGTCGAAGGGTTTTCTCCAGCCACTCCCGTAGGATGAGGAGGAGTATGCGGAGACGCGGCCCGACCCTTGACAAGTGCCCGAAATTTTGGAATTGGGACCTGAATGTTCAAAGACCATGCAACTTGCCGGACACATGACACAGGACGAGATTTTGACGGAGTCTGAGCCATGTTCTTCGTACAACAGGTGCCTGTATATGACAGCTTAGGACGACCTAGGCTGCTCGATACACGCAGTGGCCGAGGTTTTACTTGCCATTCCCACGGTTTGTGAAGCTGCAAGAGCCTGGTGGTGCGGAGCATCTTGGTCTCGAAGAGTCTTTTCACCACCTCAGTCAATTGTTTGCTATGTTATGTGTCTGGACTTTACATCTTGAAAAATATGCAGTGCACTCTCCACGGTATTCCCAAGTCTCAGCATCCCTTGAAGTTACAGGTCGCTCTTGGTGCTTGGAGCGCTTTTTTAATTTGTGTTCTTATAATTTCTTATGTGTTTTGGCCTGTTGTGTTCTTAAAGACGCTACTAGTAGCTCCTGGCCGTACTACTAGGAGCAAGAAGCTACTAGTAACAAAGGGCATCGCTACTAGTAGCAAGGACGTTACTAGTAGCTCCGGGCCTTACTACTAGGAGCAAGGACGCTACTAGTTGATCAAACTTGCACGGTCTGAGGTCGATGGAGATGCTTCCGTCCATTGGTTCTATGGGACATCCCTTCACCTGTGCCACCGCATGCAGGCATGAAGCAGACCTTTCTTGTCCCTTCTGTGACTTTCTTAACTTTACTTGAAATCTTGTTTGTTAGATACCCAATTTCAACCTATTCCCCTAATTCTTGTCCACGTTGCGAAGGTCCTAAGCCACTGAATTTTGTCTCCATTCATCACCTGATGAGCAAAAAAATCCGCCTGGGCTCAGAAGATCGTCACACACCACACACCACACACACACACACACACCACCTATTAAAAAGAACTCAAGTGCTCAGAGATCCATACTTATACTTCGGCCAGAAACCAGCCAAAGTTTTTTGTGAGCTTTCCTATAGAATAGAATTGAAGCAGAAAATTTCATGGCCGCTTAGCGGCTGAGAAGGGGCTGTTGAGTGTCGAGTGAAAAAACATTAGCAGAATCAGACAGCGCTTGGATTTTTATGTTCCATATTGTTCCATGTGATTTTATGTCAACTTGGATGATAGTTAGCTGAAGTTGCGCTCCTGACTCGTCTCGCACAGCACC